TTACCCCGCACCTTTAATGCCTAGAAAGTGTGATTTTTTTTCATTAGAAAATATTTCTATTGTGAGAAAATACTTCTATTGTGAGAAAATAGAAAAAAATATTACAGCATCTTTTATTTTTGCTTCAAGTTAAATAATATTATTGTTATTTAAATATTTAATTGTGTTAAATTAAATATACGAATGAGAGATGAGTTGTGTTTTAAAAGTGAACTAAAAACAAAATAATTTTGAAAAATAATTATAAGTTCCAAATCTGCAAATTTAAAGACTAAATTATAATGGACTAAGAGGGCACTATTAATGACCTCTGACTATTGAAACTCATAAGTAAATAGAACGCATCACTACAAATTAATAAATAATGTTTTACATAAGTAAGAAATGATTTGAGCCGTTTTTCTACTATAACTCAACTAGATAACGAAAAATCAGTCGAAATTTTATACGGAAGTCTTCTTATACGACTTCTTACGTAGGGAGTTAGGTTGAAGTGGTGGCCTTGTATCCAAAAGCCCACTTGAGCTCAAATAATGATCCATTGTGATACCACAAGATTAGCGTTGGTACGTACATAGAATGAAAGGGCAGTATACGATCAACGCCGAAAAAGATACGACTTTTTAATGTCATAAAGTTTAAAAATCAGAAATTCTGTTTCAGTTTAAAACCTGAAAACCTTTTCAGACACCGGTGTATCTGTTATGACATTGTACAGCCATTAAACACCATTATAAGTGTAAATATTTCATATATATTTCCGTTTTTAACGGATTAATGTCATTTAAAAATTCTCGCTAAATACTGTTCTGCAATAGATGTAAATCAGAAAAAATTTTCAAAAAACCTGGCTATGTGGGTGCTCAATTCTTCAATTCATTCTTACAAATTCTACAGTATAGAAATTATCGATATTCTCGCATTCATCAACGAATGCAACTGATAACAGAACACACAATCTTTCTACTAATTACTTACTTAGTATTTAGCTTCCAACAGGGCTTTTACCTATCTCCTTTTGGAAGGTAAAACTCCTTCCATGACACCTACCTAAACTTATATTTAATTTTATTTAATTATTATATTGACGCTAGTTGAGTCAGTGCACTTGAGCACTTTTACTCTCTATTAACTGCAAGGTTTCTTCACATCCACACTCTACGCCTTGACTGAATTATTGTTTATCAATTCATAAGACTAAGCAATAATTGACCTCAGATCTGCATACCTCCCCGAGGTGCATATAACCATTCTGAGATTCGATAACGCGGTGTTGGTAAGACTGGCAGTTCTCATAAATAATTTCAGGGCTCTATCCTTTATGTCTTTCGTCCTAATATACAATGGTACCTTGAAAAGTCTTCTCGAATAGTAGTGTTTGAGGCTTTCCCGAACGTTACACATCCATATAGAAGTGACGGTCGAATTATTTGGTCATATAATAGCTTCCTGTTCTTAGCATTGAGATTTTCATTTTTGAATAGCGGTTGGAGGTGATAAAGAATTTTGGCACAGCTAAATTTTAAGCCATCTCATATGCTTATTAGTATGGAATTCACCATTTCACAAATTCAAGTTTAATTCAGAGAAAAAGTGTTAAAAATTCACTTCTTCTCTAAATATTTGACAAATTCAACTCGTTGACAATCATATCGCACACACCCCGTAATGCTTCATTTTGCGTTCGCAATCATCAATCATCCGCAAGTAGTGCATCATTCATCATTCGTCATTCCCAGCTAAGCCAAGCTTAAGCCAACTCTTGCAAAAAAGAGTTAAATTTGCAACAAACAGAAACAGAAATAAACGAAAAAAAATAAATAAATCTGCGTGCAAATTAGTGTCTTGCAACTCCGCATTTTAATCTTCCCCTGTGCACAGGTTTTATGCAAGACAAGTGACCAATCATTAAGGCAACGTGTACAACAATTTACAAAAGCGACAACAACAACAATAGCAACAACAACAGTATTTATGAATTCAAGTAAATTTATAAAAGAATGCAATGAAGAGTGAAAGCAAATTTTTAAGCGACCGCAAAAACCACTGCCCAAGCATTTTGTTTTATAGTTTTATTATTAGGCGACATTTGCCTGTGTGTGTGTGTGTGTGTGTGTGTATTATGCGTGTATGGCATTTGGTTGTGTGGGTAGGCTCAGCACAGATATCAGCGTTCATTGACATATTTACATTTCCCCATATGCATAAATTGTGATGTGCGGCGCGGCAGTTCGGTGTGGCACCTTTTAGTACAACGCATACGCAGTCGGGTTTTTTCTGTTTTGATTTTACTTTCATGCGTGAATACACAAATGAGCGAAAACAAGTTAAGCTGGGTTGAGTTCTTTGCTAAACGAAATGCGGTCGTGCTTATTTTGGGTGTTAAGTCTTTCAAAATTATGGGCTGCGCTAGTCAATTAGTAGGCTTAACTTATTGCTTACATATTTAAATGCTGATGTTTTTTATTAACAAAAACAAGAAACATAAATAAATTCTTAGCATTCCTAATTTAGCGCGAAGATACCTAATTAAGTAATGTTTTTTAAACGTTGATATTTATTATTGCAGATATTAGCAAATATAAACCGAAGAGGTAATTAAACTCTTTAAAGAAGGTTCAATACTACTTTTTATTGACACAACAGGGCTTAGAGACCTACAATAGACAGCGCAGTGCTAAATTCCCTAACAATAATAATAATAACAAATATAAACGGTTTGTATGACAAATTCAAAAAGTCTTTTTTGTTAAGCTAACATAATAGGTATATTAACTTATAGAACACAAACGCGAACCATCTAGAAGTTCACATCTTAAACGGCATCTTACCTGAAAACTCCATATATTTACGAAATAAAAGCAACTTGATCTGATGCGCTCCATGTACTTGGCTTCTTTGACAAAATACAAAGCTATCACTGAACACTAAAGTACTTCTATATAAAATTATAAAGCTATAAAACCACTATGGACTTACGGTATCCCGATCTTATTATAGAGATTTGAATCAAAAATACTTTGTTTATGTGCCGCTGCTCCATGGTATATCCCAAATAGTACTTTACAGCGCGATCTTCACATATCGCGCGATCTACATAAATGTTAAATATATCTGAAAAATAAATTTGTTATTTTTAATATAATTGTAATAACTTTATAACCTTTACTCTCTTTATTTAAAACTCTTCTACAAGTTAGAATTTGACCTGAAGCATTTAATTTTAGAGATCAAGCTGTCATATCCAACATTTTAATTTCGTCAACGAATCATTATACTACCCACAAATTAAAGAGTTTTATGGAAGATCTAGTACTTCTTTTTCTTCCCTCCTCGCTATCAAAACTTTTTCCTTTACTTTTATATATATACATATGTATATATCATAGCTGCTTTTGGGGTTGTTCTTCTTTTTGTTTTTGTAACATATGAGTGCGAGACACGCAAGTATAAATGTAAGTAAATATAAACTTTGCTGATATTAATTATTTTTAATTTAATTTTATATAGTATAAAATCAGAAGAAATAAATAGCAACCACGAAATATGTAAGCACACTTTCTTGTGCCTATTATTATTAAAATCATGCACTGTGACTTAAAAGATCTAATCCCTTAGTCGGATTAGAATGTTTCTCCAAGTCCGATTTCTTTAATAAAAAACAGTATAGACTCTATCTTTCCTAGTCTTGAATCCTTATGATCCATGAAATATCCTCATAGGTATTTCTTCCTCTTGCGCATGAGTGCCGGGCACTCCCCAAGTACATGGTATGCAGTTTCTCTCTCTTCTCTACAGTATCTGCAGTCTGACTTGGATTGAGTTCCTATCTTTGATAGGTAATTATTCAATCTATAGTGACAGGTCAATAATCCAATAATAATTTTTAGGTTATTTTTTGATTGTCCTATGCAATTTTTGAAGAGTTTTAGATTGTAAGTCACTAAAAGCATTTTAAATTGTGAAAGTCTTGATAGCCTTTTATGACTTTTATGCAAAATTCTATTTAGTATTGCTTTTCTATCTCAAAATAATGTTACTTACTTACTTTCCTCGCTTGCCAGCCTTCTTATTTCTACTAATCTCATTAGATACATAATCTGCACTTCACATATACAAATAATCAAACAAACTACTTTCAAGCAACGTTTTTCTTACTTATTTTTTTAAGTAAAGTGATTTTTGTTTCCCAATTAAACGAAGGTTTACCTTAAAGGAAACTTTTTAAATTGCAATCACAAATCAATCAAAGTATCTGCTTTGCATACGCAATGGTGAGTTGGCTCACAGCGTTTTTATGGAGCCAACACCTTTTAGAATTTGAACGTTTAAACGAATTTGGATCGAGGTTAATGCAAGACTAAAAAAAAGTACAATTCACTTAACGAAAAACAGAAAAGTGAAACCGACACAATATAATTAGCAAAAATTGAAAATAAAAAAAAACCACAGAATTCGCATACTTAAATGCATTTTAATTTTTTTTTTTCTTTTACTAAAATCGAACTGTGTACATCCCACAATATGGCCGGTTACTGCCGGTTTCCTATCGATCTGTACTGCATAAAAAGTTAATTAATGCACGATCATTACGAATTTGTATCTTGAATTGCTCAAAAATACGTTGAAGGGTCATTGTGCGATGCGAAGTGTTTACACAGAGAAAAATTTTTGGATTGGTGGTCCGGCGGTCTGAGCTCACCGCTCGCACACACTTTCACTTTGGCCTTCGTTTATTAGCGCTTTTAGCATTGGCATGTGCTGCTGGCTGCTGCTCTGTTGACACATTAAACAAAAATTATAAAAAATAAATTTTTATTAAAACTAAAATTGAACGTCACTTTAATTATGGCAAATTTTAAAAAACGTTTAAACACGTAATAATTAATTTTGTTGTCGTAATAATTATTTAATCGCATTCTTGCCAAAAAAAAAAATATTTCAAATATAATTGTTGCAATTAACTGCAGACATAATAATTGTTAAATAACTTTTATTTAACAAATAGTTGGAGCTGTGGCCAAATGAACGCCAAATAAGTAATTATTACATTGTCTTTCGTGATAACACATATCCATGTCCATATAAGATTCTGTGCTGTCTAACTGTTAGATTTAATTGTTATTACATATTTTTATTATTACAAAAATATTTGTATTTTTTGAAATGGCATATATAAATTGTATTTCAAATATTGTATCTTGTTAAATGAAATAGGAAATTTACACATTAAAGATCTGTAATTTATTACGTGCTGTAATCGTTTTACATTGTTTAATATAGTCCCCACCGTTAATCACCATTATAAGTGTAATAATTTCATATATATTACTATATTTAACCAATTAATATCATTTAAAAACTCGCGCTATGTACTGTTCTGCAATAGACGAAAATCAGTCAACTTTTTCAAACAAGTTGGCAACGTGGGAGTAAGATGAATAGTGAGCTATCAAAGAAGTTTATGATTTGATTAGAGAATTAATAGTTAGTTTATATTTTCTTAATAGAAAAGGTTTGGTGATCCGATAACTTATTTTTAGTATGTATTAAAGTATTACTCGTATAAGATAAAAAATTCAGACGCTAATTTAATAAAGAATAAGAATAAAAAGATAAATAATACAAAATAAAACAATAATAAAAAACTGCTCAATTTAATATGTTAATAAATAAAGGTATTACAAAAGTTAAAATATTTTATAAATAATTATGTGTATATTATATACAAATAACATATAACAAAAAATTTTTACATTTATAAAAAAACTTTAAGTCATATTTAAATTGTATTTTTTAAATTGTATTGTATAATATATATTTGAATTTATTATATTTTATTATATATTTATTATATTATATTTATTATATAATTTATTATATTATATTTATTATATAATTTATTATATAAATTTATTTAAATATTTTAAAGATTTGTGCTTTTAAAAATACAATCAAAAAGAACAAATAAACAAAAAACATTGTGAACGTTGCCACAAAGCTTTTCAAACTGTAAGATATTTTCAAACTGTTATCTGTTATTAAACATCTTGGAATAATTTGAAAATGAAACATTGAAATCATACAAAAGTTCAGTTAATTGAGATTTTTTGAATTTTGAATTTTGACTTATTGTCTTTTTTATTAAAAAAAACAATAATAATAATTTTAAATATTTTTACCATGTAAGTTTTTTACAATTTAAGATTGAAAAATACACTCCAATTAGCTTATACCTAATAAAAAATTAAAAAGTATAATTCATTTTAGTGTACTAACAAACCTAGAATAGCGCTAATATAGAGATATGTATGTATCAAAAGAAAGTTATTCTCTTTGAAAATTAAAATTTCAAAAAATTTTACTATGTAAGTTTTTTACACTTTGAGGAATTTAAAAATTTTTAAAAAAATATAAACTCGGTTAAGTAAAGTACTATCATATAACCAATGTACCTTCTTCATTCAGTTATTCATTAGCCTAAAACCTAGCATTTTAAGCACTACATACTTATATTAACATATATATTATATTGCGACTCTAATTGGCATTATTAAAGCCGCCTGAGGATTAAAACCTGACTGAGGAATTATCTACCTGGACTACCTCCACTTTTATAACATAATATGTTAGGTACTGCCTATACTGCTCGCTAGTGTATGCCAGTTCCCAGGGTTATGTAGCTCCAGATTAAAGCATATGTGTGAGCAATTCTTTCACTCACTTCATAACAGAGTATATTTAGTTTAATAGGGCTTCCTATTCATTTCTTTCTTCCCTCTAGGCGGCTCTGGTTAATAACGGTTATTCTTTAACAAGAATGATATATACTGGAAACACATATTCTGGAGGATTTTCGTGGAGATCGAATGTAATATCTATCCTTAAAGAGCATATTGAGCGGTATTTGACATCCAAGATGGTTTTAACTTTTGTACGATGCACCTATACGGTAAATTGGATCCTTTGCAATTGGAGTCATAATCTAACCTAAAGTAATATATACTTTAATTTTTTTCCAGTCGTTGTTTTTTAGTCCTTTTAGGTAGTTTTTTTAATAGAAGAGAATTAAAAAAAAATAAAAAATTTACCTAATAGTAATTTAAACTTCCACATTAAAGTGTGAGTTGTAAAATAAAAATGTATAATAACGAAGTCTTTACTTAATTAAAAAAATCAGCAAGTTTTCAAAGAAAAATAAATTTTATTCTATGAATAGAGAAACTCTTTGATATTTCATATTTTGTGTCATCTTAAAGACAATTTATCTATTTATTTACTGCCCAATACGGCCATATCGTCAACTACTTTAGTAGCTATAAATCTGGAATTTGGTCGCGATGATGGTGATGTGCTAGCACTACTCGTACCGCTACTGGACGAATGTGGAAGTGGAACTGCAGAACGTGCCGGCACCAGAAGAAATTCATTAAATAAAAAATCTGCATCCATCGATTGTGTTTTTTCATGAAAACCACGCGCTATGCGCTTTGGAGGTTCTATAAATTTTTCCTTAACAACAATCGCACCTGGATGTGAGTGTTCGGATGCTGCATCTGTAGTCACTATGCAACAGGATTGAGCTACTGTTTTATATTTGCTTTTATGTTGCGGCGAACCTGACACAGACGAAGACGGTGAGGCACCCAAAGAACTCTTTAAATTTATGCACGATTGTGTATGTGTAACATCGACAAAGTCGGCAGCATTATGAGTGACTCTCTTTAAGGTGTTACTCTCAAAAGGAAAATTGGAATTTGAAGTGGATTGCGTTAGATTCTCAAATTTACGCAAACGTTCATCTTGTTTGAGTTGTTGTGTTGAAGCTGGTATATTTATAGAAGCATGTAATGTGGAGATTTCTTTCTGACGCTCAAAGTCACCGCTCTCAAAGAGACTTATTTGCTTTTGTATTCTCGGTGAAACGGGATCACTTGCTTTGCGTATGGAAATTTTATGTGCATTATGACTTAGACTGTTTTCAGTGTCATCATGCAAAGTCAGTGTCGGTGGTGGATCATATTTATCTGGGGAGGAACTAATGATTTTTGTTTCTGGAATTTTTAATGGTTCTGGTAATTTAAATATATCATTATCAAATTCACAATCTGGGGGCTGTCCTTGCTCAGCATGTGTGGGACAGCAGTAACAAGTTTCCAATTTAATGTCATCCGTGGGTAATGAAGGCGTAGTGGCAGCTGATAATGTGGTCTCATCTTCATCGTCGAAACCCTGTTTGTAATAAAGACGGAAATTGTATAAATTATTTTTATATCAAATCAAATTGTACCTACATCAACTGACAGTGTCATGGAACCTTTGTTTGCTATCATACTGATATCCATGCCGAAGCTAACTGGCGTAAGGCAAGCACTTTTATCACCTCTGCCGCTGCTACTTGATAGGAACACTGAATCAGCATCAACATCCAATGTATCTGCATTCATAGGTGTATAGACGGTAACCGAATTTAAGTCGTCGTCTAACTGTGGAAAGAATTTCGCCAACTCTTCAGCCGCGGGTAATATATTAAAGCTACAAAAACAGCAGGTGTTGAAAAGAGATAAAAAGTGTTAATTGACATAAAAAATGGGCTACTCACCCTTCGGTGCTAGTCAAACTGATAGACATTTCTCCGCTTGGGGTTCCATGCGAGTAACTATCGGATACTGCCGGTGAAGATGGTTCAGTGCTACTTGCTAAGCTTGACTGTTTGCTCCAAACTTTAATATTATTCGAATTTGATGTTTACAATTAAACATTTTAATTAATTTTCGTTTTTTATAAAAACAATAAAAATTGTTTGGTTTCAAAAATTATTTTTGGTTTTTATGTGCATTCGGTTTATGATCTTAGCAAAATTAAATTGGCGTTGCATTCAATATTTTTACTTTTATTTTATTAAATTGCATTTTTTGCAGTTTAAAACAGTAGAATTTATATATTATAGAATATTTCAAAATATTTTTATAATAACAGTGAACAGTGATGTGCAAAAAAAAGAGCAAAAGATTAAAGAAGTGAATTAAAGATAAAGTAAAATTAAAATATTTAAGAATAAGAAATAAGTTTCATTTTTTAGATTAATAAATAAATATAAACATGCATTCAACATACAATTGATTACTGAATTGCAATTGGAGATATCTATTTAAAGACTCCAACTACATCGTAAAACACATTCTTAAGAAATCTTAAGTGACGTTCCCACAAAGATCGACAATATGATTTTAAATAAAAATATTAAAACAGAAGATAGGTTAGATAGGTTATACCAGCAGGTTCCTAGTGGATCCACGTAGGCCTATAGGCCCATTGTGTTACCGTATATGTAGGAAAACTCAAGGGTTTTAAACCAACTATAACCTCTTGCGGAGCATGAAATGCTATTGAGTGTTAGGTCTTGTAATTGTACAAAATACTCAAGGAAGGGGTCTGCTAAAGTGTTGAGTCACCGCCGTGCGAGTATATTATTAGAGATTATATGAAGAAATCATTTCAACAACTATACAAACTCGCAAGAATCAAGAGTGACCTGTCAGCAAACCCACTATAGGCTAATACTTTCCTAACGCATCTTAATAACAATGCTACAGTTTTTGTTATATTTTAGAAAGGATAATCTGTGTACAAATATCTGCATATCGTTGAAGCTTCCAATTTTATATTAAATTGCTTAATACAATAAGATTTCAATAACTGTTTGCATAATGCTTGAGATATGCCCAAGAATTTTAGATGCTCTAAATAAGTACCTAAAACACACTATACGACTAACTCATCTGAACTGTAACTATGCAGTTTATTAAATTATTAAATCGTTTAAAAGATGTCGAAATCATCCTAGATATTTTTTAAAAGAATTAAACAGTTTGGTTAACAATACCTAAGTACAGATAAATTGGTACTCCTGTGACCAGACACAACTAAAGAATAGATATATTAAACTGAGTCGTTTAAGTATGTCATAAGCTATCATACATGTTAGTTGTACTAAACACAAACACTTTAAAGCACCTTAATTCTCAATAGGCATATATATATTCCTCCTCATATTCCTATTGTCCACTTCAGGAAAAAGTTTAAATTATTTAGTGGCCATAACTTTTGTTTGAAATACACTTCAGTAATCACTAAACCTTCAATAAATCTAATTATACATTTTCAGTTAGAACCGTTGCTTTATATTATATATAGTTAAGCCTTCTTTTCCTCTTCTAATGAGTGATCTCACTAAAGCCAGGCGTCTCTAAATGGAAAATCGACAGTGAATTATATATATTTAATCCTTTAACTCCTAGGAGGAGTATAGGGCCGCAGTGAATTATATGCCGAAGTCAAAACTCTACATATTGAAACTAAAGAAAATATACATATATTAACTATGTTTTTCAAAGGAATACATAAAATATACATATATAGAAAATATGTGTACAAAGAAAATAATATATAAATACACAACTACATAGACAATAAATCAGGCACATGAAAGATAAATTTGATGAAAAAATATCAAAGTTCTAAAAATTAATAACAATTAAATTTTGTAATAATTACAATAAATAATAATAGTCTATATATTTTAATTATTGGTATAAGAAATAACTAATAATTTACAACAAAAAAAAAAACAAAACAAATATATTTGATATATTAATATTTTAATACAATTTATTCATCCAATTAACAATTTAAACATTTTGCAAATACATTAATGAATTTTATATATAAATTTAAATAATTTTGATGTTTACAATAAATTTATTAAAAAAAAATAAATCAGCGTCTTTTTTTGATTGAGTAAACATTTTAAAAACAAATTCTCTAAAATTTTTTATTTATAAATAAATAATTAAAAAATAAATTTACTAAAATTGCATCGGAACACAT